GATTATATACAAAGGAAACACAGTAGTGTTGACATAAGCCTCTTGTTACATGTGACCGAGACCAAAAAAAAAGAGAATGACTTGCCAATCTATTTTCAGTAAACAAGTGTTTATAAGGGAGAGTAAATAAGGATATTTGCAGGTGAATATTTGCAGAATACAGCATTCACAGTCTCTTACATAAGAAATATTAAAGAACATATTTAAAAGAAATTCAAAAGGGAAAAGGTGAATAGCAAGAAGCATTGCTGATTTTTAACTAAATATATAAGTAATATAAATGAACTTAAACTGACATTAACAATTAAAATATGTACGTAGTTTGAAAGAGTTTAAAAGTAAAGATTCGAAGTACTAGTCAATGATGGCATGCAGATGAGAGACAGGAGACAAGAGTGGAAACTAAGAGTTTCTGTTGATAGACTCTATCACATCAAAATGCTCACTAAAGTATAAAAGTATGCAGAGCCAGGTGTTCTGGGACCAAAAGCCTACATAATTTGTAGAGCTTATGTTATTTATTCTCTAAGGAAAAATGAAAAACATTCTAATTTTTCCACTCTTACGGAAACACAGGAGCCATATTCTGAAGGCTTGGAAGAAGGCCATGCCCATGATGTGTGTGGGTTTCCTTTCTGACCTCCACAGTAAACCTACCACTAGTGTCACTTTCAGAGGAACCAAGCGGAAGTGCTTAGGTCACTTTCCAGTCCTGGAAAAAAGTAAGGGATGAAATAAAGGAGTGCTATGAAACTAGTAAAATCAAAGAAAAAATAAATAATGAAAACACTGAATATTTTTTTAAAAGCAGAGCATAAAATATCCAAATAAACCAGCCATGACAATAAAAAGTTAATGAGCTCACTGTTGAACACAGTTACTCAGAAAAATAAATCTAAAGAAATAGAAAAATTAAAAAAAGATTTCCCATATTAACAAACTAGAAAACACTGGAATAATAAAGATCAAGAACCTGAGTTTAGTCCCTGCTCAATATAAGTAAATCTCTGACATTTAAGGAGAATGGAATATTTTCACAAATTTTACATTCTGAGTTGTCAAAACATTAAGAAGAGTTTTCGAAGCTTGAAATCCTTATAGCTTCTTCCTCTTCATTCTAAAAGTGCAGATTTTTGAATGTCATTTGAATCCACCCCAGCTGTTAAAATCTCTGGACCTTATTTCTTCCCGGTGATCATTTTAGCCCACACTGGGTGGTTCAGAGCCTAAGATTTGGGCCCTGCATAGAACCAGGCCCTTGTTAGGAAAGAGGACTCCAGAAATCAGGACCATGGTGTCAATGTCTTCATTGTCTGTTTGTAGGGCTGTGTATCACATGTTCCTAAAACAGAGCACGAGTACTCAAGTAATTCTTGACTCCAAGGAGCCAACTTCTTAGAGTGGCTGGTTCATATTTCTTTTATTATTCTTTGTTTCATTTTCTCTGTATTATCTCTGGCATACCTTAATTAGGTGGCTATGTCTGTGTGTGTGTGCACACATGTGTGCACACATGTTATGGCTTATATCTAGATGTCCCCCCAAAGTCTCATGTGCTCATAGGTGGAGCTTTTGGGAAGTGACTGGATCATGGGTGTGAGATACTGGATTTGTCCACTGATAGGTTTATAGCTGGGTAGGATGTTGGAAAATGAAGCCTGGTGGAAAGAGGTGGCTCACTGGGCATGGCCAGAATCGATATATATCCTTCCTCAACCCATGATTATGTTGTGCCTCCTGCCTACGCTCCCATGGACTGTTTCTCTTCTTCAATGCCCCTCTACCATGCTGCTTTGCCTTGGAGCCAGCCAGCTGTGAACTGAGACCTCTACAAACTGGGAGGCAAAATAAACCTCTCCTCCTTTAACTGGTAGATGTCAGGTATTTTGTCTCAGCAATGAGAAAAGTAACTAAGATAATATATATATATATATATATATATATGTAAACATACACGTATATTTCCATGGCAAGATGCACAGTTTGTCTCTAAATAGTTTCTGAAATGATCATATCAATGTCTTCACCTCAGTCTGTATCCAAAGTTTCCCCCAAGGTCACCAGCATGCCCCTCCTCAATCTTACAATAAAATGACTTCTTATAAAAAGTGTTCTCTTTCACCGCCTGAACATTCCAGTCAGAGGAGAGACAGCCCCTAGTGAAGCACAAGCCAGAAACTGTTTACAGTGCATTTAGAAAATGCTCTAAAATGCAAACCAAAACTACTGTTTGCCCTCAGAAAAAAAAAAAGAAAAACATGAAAGAATGACAGGAAGAAAAAAATGAATCTCTAATGCTCAGAATGGCAGTTGGAGCTGGGACAGTCTTTTACTGCACAAATAATTCAAAGCAAGAAATCTCCTGTCAGGATGCAGACAACCCTTGGGCTGCACAGGGCAACAAGTCTGACCAACCTCAGGGCCTCCAGCTCCACAGGTGAGTGTGGCCAGAAACACAGGTATAAATTATCAGAACTGCATAGGGGACTCGGCCCTCCAA